GGTTTTGCACAGATGACGACACAAGTAAGGCAACATATGCTCAGACTATCACAAAAAGAGCATAGATGACAAGCACAGTTGTCCATTTCTGCGATGCCACTGCGTCTGCTTTTCTCTTGCATCATAGCGGTCGGAGCCATAAGTGCCTGATGAATGCAGATCACTGGAAACGGTTAGGTGTCAGCTGACGTGAGGCAGCGCGTCAGCACATTCCAGCCGGCCGCCCAGCCACTCACCTTGGCCCTGCGTCTGGCCCGGACACGTATGCCAGCCACCACCACCACGGCCAGGAGCAGGAGCACGCCGACCACCCCGAGTAGCACGCCCACCAGCGGTGTCAGCAGCACAGGCGCGTCTGACGGCTGCTCTGGAGCGGGACCAGGCAGGGCGTCACGGCACACAGCGGCACACCACGGCACAATACGGCGCATAGCGGCACAAAACAGCACATAACGGCACACAGGGGCACAAAACAGCACAGCACGGCAGGTAAGAGCACAACACGGCACAACGAGCACATAACGACACACAGGGGCACATGTTAGCACATCACGGTACAAAACAGCACAACACGACACGTGTCGGCATAAAGTGGCATAAAACGCCGCAGGCATTGCAGGGAGCGGCGGCGGCGGCAACGCACAACGGCGCACATCGGCACACAACGGCACACGACGGCTCGGGGCGTCACAGGTCGTCATAAGGAGCAGCGCCGACGCCGTCAGAAGATGGCACACCGCGGCACGCAGCATTGCAAGGTGTGTCAGCGAGCCACGACGGCGCTAGCACACAGCAGCACCCCCGGATCCACATCGACACATAACGGACACACAGGCATATTTCCGAGGGGATTGTGCAGCCCACTGGCGCAATTCGCGACCGAGGTGCCCTCAAGCCGATTACCGGTAACGGTGATCACCAGGCATCGGTGCAGACCGCGCCAGCTGGGCACTGCAACGGGAGTTGACAGGCCATGTCGCAATTCTGACGGGCTTAAGCCCTGTCACGCCGCGCTCTATTGGCTGCGACGGGGACGTGATGAGTCGAGACATTAGTGTCAATCCTCGCGACCCATTTGGACGTTTTACTCCTGGTGACGCATCCGAGATACACCAAAGTACGCAGCTGGCGGCCGTGATGGCCCACAATTGGCCGTCATTTGCCTTTTGCATCGCCAGTGCGCAGCATCTGCGCTCCATCAGCGTTGAGCTTCAGCTCCGAACACGACCCGCTCACATTAGTTCAACCTTGCTTGTTCCACTACCTATCCTTTCTCGAAGCTACTAATCCTATTCTGCGCGAGCTCGGTAGGACACGGTTACAGGAAAGGTGGACGGATCCCCCTACAGATCTCGAGAATTGATCATTCGAATGTAAAAAAGAAATGGTGTTCAGTTTCTCATGATAAGATCTACATCACTGAGAACATTTCTAACAAGCTTGATAAGGACAACAGAGGGCAACGAACGAAGTGATTTCTGATTGATTCGCTGTAGTTGTCATGTTTATCAACTAGGAAGCTCGTGTGATGGCGACATTTGAAATGTAAAAGTTCATAGCTGTAGCCAAGAGGCGTCAGAAAAGGATGATACCAATAATGATCAAAACCAGGATTTATTGAAATAATTTGTGGCAAATAAGATAATAAATTTGCTCTGACATAAAAGAACACGCATGAGCGCAAGACCTTGGCACACGCTGTGCAAGGCCCGGAACAGAGGACGAAATGAGAGGCAAACATAACTATTGGCCCTATTGCTACTTAGCACTGTAAGCTCAAATGGCGTGGGTGTGCATGTGCATATTGATAGCATTCATAGACGTGCCCAGGCTTCAAAAAAAGACGCGGCATTGGGTCTTGGTCCGTTGCTGCGGTCGCTGAGTTTCTGCGGTACAAGGCCGGCCGGCTCGTACGACCAATGACAAATTTGGTGTCGTGGGGGGGGGGGGGTAATCCGACACACACACACACACACACACACACATATATATATATATATATATATATATATATATATATATATATATACATGCATGTCTGTGTACCGTTTTGTTTATTTATTGGAAATACAACTTTGATATTTTTAGTCCTGTTACCGCCAGTGACACCCGCCCCCAGAAAACTTGTTATATTTTAATAACAGTCATAATTCGACTGTCTCATCCAACGGAGACATCAGTAACAAATGTATACCTATGGGCCAACGCTGTGCATGTAATCACGTGGATACCGTCATATTTGCTTTGTCGCCAAATTTAACTGGAGGTTCTTTCCAAAACATGCCTCTGAAACCGCCCGGACGCGTGCTATGAAGTTCAGGTTTTGACACAACACCAAGAGCAGATGTTTGGAGTTAGAAAATTTCGAAGACCTTGGCGGGTGGCTTCACTTGACTCGACCGAGGCTCGTCCATCCATTCCACCACGTCCAGCCCGTCCACCGCGTCGATGTCGCCCCTCCAGTCCATCCCGTCCGTCGCGTCGCTATCGCCCCTCCAGTGCAGCCCGTCCGCCGCGTCGATGTCGCCCCTCCAGTCCACCCCGTCTGCGGCGTTGCTGTCGCCCCCCCCCCCCCCCCCTCTCTAGTCCAGCCGTCCGTCGCGTCGGTATCGCCCCTCCAGTGCAGCCCGTCCGTCGCGTCGATGTCGCCCCTCCAGTCCACCCCGTCTGCCGCGTTACTGTCGCCCCCCCCCCCCTCCCCAGTCCAGCCTGTCCGTCGCGTCGGTATGGCCCCCCCCCCCCGTGCAACCCGTCCGTCGCGTCGATGTCGCCCTTCCAGTCCACTCCGTCTACCGCGTCGCTGTCGCCCCTCCTGTCGCGCTGTACACTCGTCGCCACGTTGGTTACTCACCGGCGCCCTCGGCGATAACCCTTTGGGCCACGTCCTCGGGCGTGACGGCCGTCGTGATGTAGCGGTCGCCACGGCCCTTACTGTTGCGGGCGTAAATGGCCAGCAGGTACCGTCGGCCCGGCAGCAGGCCCTGAGCCACGAACCTGTCGAGCCGAACAGACGTGACCACGGAGGAACAGTGCACATCGACTGTGAAAGCTGGCTCGTGCACACAAAGGTGAAACAGCGCTTGCCGACCATGAAAATTGACCGATGCAAAGACGTACGGGGCTGTGTGCAGACAACATTGTGTGCTTCCGTGTTCTGCCAAGCACATGCCATGTTAACGTACAGTTGGGACATCAACAATAGACCGATGTGGGTCAGTCACGTCCAGAAATGGTTTGCTCCACGCTTGCTGGAAATTAAACCGACGTAGCGTACCGTGAATTAATCAAGGACATGAAATCGTAAGTCAAGCCCCTCCAGTCAAATCCATGCCTGGCTTCGGCCTCCCTTCCACTGACCTGGGCACATCGGAGGAGATATTGGTCACCAGCGTCTGCCGCTGGATGTCAGTCAGCTCCAGCACAAACGTCTGCCGCAGGCCGCCGTCATGGCCCGGCGCGCAGTGAACGCGCAGTGAGTCGGACGTGCCGTTGATGACGCTGCAGTTGCTGAGGCCGTCTGGACGCTCTGGGGGAAGCGCAAGACGTCTGAGCTCCGTTCATTATCCACTGACCATTGCCGGCATGTGAGGCTTCGAGTCACAATGCGGGTTAGATCGCGATGCATTTCGGAGGAAAATTCTGCGTGCACATCGGATATAGTGCGATCGCCTTGGGATCATCTCTTGCCTAGCATTTTTGTTTTGTAGCCGTTTAAAGCACAACACATTTCAAAGACAAGAAGACTTTGCAATGGACCCAATGCAATGCAATGCAATGCAATTGCAAGACTGCTTTGCAATGGACACTTGTCCTGCGCGGTGGCGGCTGGACTCGCCGGGCTCGTTTTCTGACTGTTGTACTTCAGCCGTTTGGGATTGCTTCTAGAAACTTAAAGTTTTTTAACATATTCTTTTAACACGTGCCCGGGTGGCCGGTTGGATACCCGAGCAGGGGAATCAATTTGATCCCCTGAGATCTTCGCGGCTGAGAGAGCTAGAGCACAAAATTCACAGGATGCGTTGGCCTGTATGTAAACTCACTTAGGTCAAAGTTCGAGGTTCCTAGATCATGACACTCTTAAGGTCAAACAAGGTCAAACTCCTTGTTGGTCTCCAAAGTGCCCTCAGAATCTAGATACCTGCTCTAAGGAGGAGGTCACATGCTCATTGAAGGTCAGTGACCTTATTTGACCTTTCGGAGACCATGGTGACCAAAATCATAAGACTGCTTTGAGTTTTGCAGCTGAACAAGCGACACATATGACGCTAGGCAGTATACTCCTAGAAACAAAATGTTGATCTGAGTCGTTTTAGGTCAGTAACCTATTCTGACCTTTAAAAACTCCATGAAAGATGCATAATGCGGTTCCTGTTGCCAATCAATGCGACATGGGCACCAGAAACTATCCATACAGTAAATCCTAGGATAATAACACGGGTTGGCTTTGACCTTAGTCTGACCTTCATACCTGACCCTAGGTCAATGTAATTTGTCCATTCAATCGTTGGGTTGCCTAATAAAGTATCCTAGAGATGCATGGTTTCGTCTAACACTCCATTGTTGCATCAGACTGAACAATTCCTTAGAAATCGTCTTCGCTGAATCCATGGTCTGATTTTAACCTACCGTATGTCAGTGACCTTACAGGGTACATCTAAATTCTTGATGCCAAACAATCCGCCATTATATTGTCTAAAGCTATGCAAACTTTAGGGCGGCTGCGCCGCGCCGTTCGGAAACCATTCCGTAAAGGCCTTCGGGGGGGGGGGAATTTGACCCCCACCCCAGCACGTGTTACGGTATATATTCTAAATTTAATGACCCCGTCACGTCAGTGGGGTTTCCAAAGGGAGGTTTTCGCAACGTGTTAAGAAATCAGCACATAGACAATCCTATACCAAACTTCTAGATTAAGGTGGACTATTCTTATTTTTCCGACGTCATGTGTTACGTTCATATAATACCTGGTGACGCGTGTGAGGAGTGACAAGAAACAGAAGCGATCTGGGTTAAACAAAGCGGTGACACTATACACAATTTCATCGTAGCATATCGGTGAAATTTAAGGCATACATATAACACGGGTTTTCACTTCAAGTAAGTCAATAACAACAAGCAACAAGAGATTTAACAGCACCGCGTTTCAATTATTTCAATTATTTTCTCTTGGGTTATGCATTTTTTCACCTATAACGTCGATGCTTCGAAAGGAAATGGAATTTCCATGTTGACGTCTGAACACGTTAGACACCAGAAAGACCAGGCAGAATAAAGTGACCACTTTTTATCTTGAATCTCAATCAGTGCACTACATGTGGAGTTGTATAGGGATAAGTATTTTTAACCCGAATACTACGTTATGTTTAGACCGATTTTCCTCCCACCATTCGGTTTTGCTAAAACCACCCGTCAATAAATTATCGTTCTGCAAGTCGCGGAATGACAGAGAAAGAGGCCAATATCATTCGTTTGAGATCACTTGCAGAATGGCACGGCGATTGGGTACAGAGATCCGGGTAAGGACTAAGGGAGATTTGGGCTCCCGTGAGCCGCGAAGAATGACGTTAGGCGAGATGGAATATTTTAACAGGATCATGCGGCCGCTCTGCATAATTTCATTGAATGCAAACTGCCTGCTTAAGTCAAATACGGCTGGACGATGACAGCAGAAGTTGGGAGTGATGGCTATTCACACAGCCAACAATCCACGAAGTTTGGCGGCACGCCATTCAGAACGCATAAACCGCCAGTTCTCTATGCAGGAATACCAGAGCACAGTATTACACTCAACTCCGGTCAAATGTATGAATACGGAACCCGAAGTCGCAGCTCACAGCCGCCGATGTTGAAACGCCTGGCCAAACGCTCTCGTTCTCAGAGCATTCTCACCGAGCATTGTCCTGGTAGTGTGCGCACTATAAGCACTGTTTATATGTATAGGCGCCTGCAGGAGCACCTCGGATATCACAAGTAGTATTTGACATGATGTTTGGCGGTAGGGGTGGTGTCAAAGCGCACGACGTATCGCAGAGCAAAGGAAGAAGCGGTGGGGGACCACTCCAGCAAGGCGTACCGGGGGCCCAAAATAACATAGAGAGGAAATCAACGTTAAAGAAATCGACAGGATGGGGGGGGGGCAGAGCCCTCAAAATAATATCATCAATCGACACCGCTGCATCACGATATAAGGCAATGGAAATTCATTTCGTTCGTGCATCGGCCCGCTGTCATGTTCATCGTCAGAATATGCTAACTTCCCTGCAACGGAAGGGCTTGTGACGCAAAGCTTCACGTGCCCGTCTGTAGTCAGCACCCAGCACCCAGCCAGGTCGAGTCAGCACCCAGCGAACAATTCCGGCCCCATCCCAACCGGAAGCGGGCTGAACCCCGAACGTCCCAAACTTTCCGGCTGGGGAATGCTTGGAATCAGCCCCGAAAGTGAGACACATGGGTTGGGATTCGTAACCGGCTCCGGACCGCAGCCCAGTTTTTCTTCAAGCGAGGTGTCTGGAGCGTTCCCTAGGCTGCCCGTGCGATTACACACTGGAAAGCGTTCAATCCTACTCGGTATTTGCCAGCCTTTCCCAAAAGGCCTGTCAGGAGATCTTGAGGGTTCTTGAGCTGCTTACGCTTACGAGATTACGCACTAAAACATTATCTCTCCAAGAAAATCTCAACTCTGACCGTCGAGGATGCTCGGGAAATTCCCAAGCTTTCACAAGCGATGGCCGTCGACAGCGCTCGATCGCGGAAGCTTGGGCCCCCAAGTATTCTCCAAGTCGACCGGGGAACTTGGGTTTCCCAACCTTTCCCAAGCAAAGTGCTGGCTGGACAATGGCACGTCCCGGCATACACACATCATCAAGCGTGCCAGCGTCACGAGATCAGCTCACTTCGTCATTTATCGTCAGACTTTATCTAGCCGTGAGTGACTAACTTTCTGCAACGAGGGGGACACGGGGAATCGACCCACTCTCCAACTCGACTCACCAGCACATCCCACGCGGCATGCGGTGCACCAGGGGCCCGCCCCCTCCCCCGCGTCTCTGCCGCGGGGCTCTCACACCCCCTCCGTCCCCTGGCATACCTGCCGGCACGATCCGGAACACGCAGGGCTGGCTCTGGCGGGCCAGCTCGTTCTCGGCCCAGCACAGCAGCGGGCCGTAGTCGAGCAGCGTGCGCGGAGTGTAGCGGCACAGGCTCGTCAGGCCCGTGCTCTCCGAGTGTGACTCAGGCACGTCGATCAGGTGACCTGCGCGGCGCCGGCAGCCGGTGAGGCACGGGCGCGGTAGCCGGTGAGGCACGGAGCACAGAGCGCCGGCAGCCGGTGAGGCACGGGGCACGGGGCACGGGGCGCGGTAGCCGGTGCGGCACGGAGCACGGAGCACCGGCAGCCGGTGAGGCATGGGGGTACGGAGCACGGAGCGTCGGCGGCCGGTGAGGCACGGGGTACGGGGCACGGGGCGCGGTAGCCGGTGAGGCAGGGAACACCGGGCGCCGGCAGCAGGTGAGGTACGGGGCACGAGCCGCCGGCAACCGAGGAGCCACGAGGCCCGGGCCGGCGGCAGCGGTGCATATAGAAAGGTTTAGACGAGAAGATCAAATAAAGTGATCGCTCGGGAGAGATATGGGACGGGGAGCCCTCGCTCCCTCCCTAAACAATGAACACAAGTACAATCTCAACTTTTTCAATAGCAACATCGAATAAGGATGAGTGTTCTAGGTTGGAATTGGATGCATTGTGTTTGGAGCATAATGATGATAATACGTATTGTACCATGACAAAATTCAATCTATTCATCGCGACGTGGTCACTGCGGCCACAGAACGCTGCCTTCGGGCAATTTCCCTAAAACTCATGACAGAGTAAGAGGTGACGTAAGGGGGTGTGACGCAGTGTCATTTAATCGCTTAAGGCCTTGGCCACTGCAGCCCGCTACAAATGCGCAGCAAGCAACAATATCAACAGTATAATTGCCACTCACAGAATACCGTCACTTCCGAGGATAACATAGCTTCGGAGATTTGGTGCCAGCTACAAGGAACATTTAAGCATCGCTAAGCGAAACGCAGATGAACTTGCAGATGATCGCGGCACAGGCGGCTCTGCGAACGCGAAGCGAGACAGAGACCGAGATCTGCAGACTTATGCACAGGACAGCCACCAGTCAGAAGGGAGCTCTCACGTCCCGCACCCCAAGGTGGTGCCCGGCGCCCGTGGCTCATACCTGACGAGTTGAACGCCCACGAGAAGCGAAAGGGCGCCGGCTCGGCGGTCACCTGGCACCGGACGTAGATGGTCTCGCCGCGAGACACACCGTACTGTGTCGTCTGGTCCGGGGCGCACCGGGGTGCGTCTGCCAGGGGAAGGCGAGGGATCACGTCTGGGCGGTGGTGGTCTGGGCACACCGGGGTGCGTCTGCCAGGGGCAGGGCGAGGGGTCACGTCTGGGCGGTGGTGGTCCGGGGCGCACCGGGGTGTATCTGCCAGGGGGCAGGGGGGCGGGATCACGTCTGGGCGGTGGTGGTCCTGGGCACACCGGGGTGCGTCTGCCAGGGGGCAGGGGGATGGGATCACGTCTGGGCGGTGGTGGTCTGGGCACACCGGGGTGCGTCTGCCAGGGGGCAGGGGATGGGGTCACGTCTGGGTGGTGGCGGCCTGGGGCACACCGGGGTGCGTCTGCCAGGGGGCAGGGGGATGGGATCACGTCTGGGCGGTGGTATCAGGCAGTGCCGTCGTAATAGGAGCAAGTGGAAAACATTTTACCGAGGGCGAGGATTCATAGTGCGTGGCGGGTCAGGTCTTACCACATCGCGTAACCATTATTTACCAGGTGAGGTCCCAAAGGGACGGTAAAAATAATGCAGGGACAATTGAGCGAGGTGAGCGTACAGCTGCAAATGTACGGCATCAACATAGCAATTAAAGCACGCTTATGAATGAGGCCTGCTTGATGCGTCATTTGTGCCAATGAGCCTGCAATAAATGCCTATACAGACGATACTGAGCACAACGTGAGGCCTACCACACGCGTTATGCGCTGAGCACCGACATTCTTGAAAAGGCTCAAATCACGGGACCAGAGCACCATGTCGACCAACAAGTCAGTCCACCGCAGCGCGCTAATTCCCATTGACCTCAGGCGGCGGCCGATATGACCGCTGCTATTTTGGCCGCCACTAATGAGAAACAGGGGCGGCGTGCGAGCGGCCAGGACGCCGCCCCGGTCCCAGCTACGCGGCCCAGTTTTCCAGCGGAGCTCACGACCGAGCGGCGAAACGCGCCGGCCGCGACCAGGCCGATAACGCGGCCACTATTGATCATGCGCCGGTGTGGAGCTGGAGCGGGCGGTGCGGTCGACAGGGCGTGCCCCCGCCCGGTCGGGAGTGACTGGCCGACGATTGGCTCGCCCCCGGCGGCCGCCCCGCCGCCCGGACTTGAGAGGCTTCGGAAAGGTCAGTCAGACGCAGGCCGACTGACCGGGCGCCGTCGAAGAGAGGGCCCGCGGCGGCCTTTGATGCCGGGGTCGCGCCACGAGTTCCGATGGCCAGTGCATTAGCGGCGTCGACGACGGAGTCTTTGTGGACGTCCCCGACGTCCATAATTCAGACGCCGCCCTGATGGCGGCACCAGTGAGGTCGCGCCAACCGAGGTTTTGGGAGCCGGCAGCAGGCTCATCTAGCGGGTCCCGTGTTCGTCCACGCTACCGCCGGCTGCATGCCTTCATAACGTTGCCATACTTTTTTGATGCGATAGATGCGTGACCATCACCGGCCAGAAACACACATTCGTTCTGCGGGACAAGCAGTATAACGTTGGCACCACATATCGGGTGGCTCCGTTTTTTGTTACCTGCTAAGGACACTTACTCCGCGCATGTTTGACAGCTTTACCTTTAAAGCCTAATGTTCTACTCAAGCGCCAGTGACAAGGTTTTCAAATGAGACGCCCCGTCGGTCATCGCGAACAGAAACACCTCTAACACTGATTGCGGAAATGGTCTTCACAGCGTACTGCTCTCGGCGACGGTCCGGGCATAAGCCAAAGGCTGCTCCTCCCCTCCCCACCATAAGTTGCGCGGTGTACGAATGCCCTGCATACTCGTTTGCCGGCCCCGTCCACAGTTCCAGCTACTCAGCAGGCTGCCCGAGCTGGCTTCCGTCCTATTTAGTGGCCCTGCAGACCGCGAGCCCGCCGAGAGCGCTGGCTCGCCAGCAAACTCCAGCCCCGGGGGGCCCGAACCCATTTACCAAGCGCGCCCTCGAGATCACCGCCGCAAACAGCGCGCGGAGGCGCCCGACCGACGATCAGAACCAACTCTGGGTAGTTTCCGACGCAGTTCGCGGTGTTTTTACCTACTGAGTGGGATCAATCAGCCATCGTATCGAACTACTAACAACTCTTCGCGTGGTCCCCTGTGGGGCAGCTCGCATCATTTCACCTTTTAATCTGCGAACCTTCGCACGAGAGCAAACGCAAACACCGTCAGCACAAGTTCCTTGCTGGCGGTAACGTTTGGATAGAGTTCTTTTCCCAAGTCGAGCCCTGGTTCGCGGCGCGCAATCTCGCTAGACTTGACCCGCTTTTCAAATTCTCCTTGATGTGCCGTTTTTATTCAGCTGATGTTGACGTGTCCGACTGAAAGCTGTTACCAGCGGGGGAGCTGGTCCACTCACAGCGCACGCGCAGTCGGGCCACGGCGCTCTCGCCCGTCCCCTCGTCGTTGAAGGCCGAGCACGAGTAGTCGCCCGAGGCGTTCCGGGTCACGTGGTGCAGCACGAGCGTGTCATTGGCCAGCACCAGGTCGCGGCGCGGGTCGCTCACCAGCGGCACACCCTGGACGAGCGGAAGCGCCGTGAAATGCGACAGCGCGTGAACGGTCGTCCACGCGACATGTGAAAGGGTTCTAAACGTTACCTTTTCTCGACCTGGGTGCACAGCTTAGAGTTCAGGTGCCTTTCAGAGAATTCAGGGGAAGATGAGGCTAATATGCGTAACGTTGATGACAGAACAACCGCGCCCTATAACATAGCATATGCAAGGTAATCTTTTGCGCATCCTCGTCGTTGAAGACATGTTACATTTCGCTATATTTACAACATAACGGACTGTCTAATGCAGCAGACTGATAAACAGCAAACCACTATAGATATGCATCATGAAATCGCACACAATACGTCTTAAGTATACAAACAAGAGACAACGTCTAAAAGACGCCAGGCGAACACATCACCAAGCCACGGCCTGCATGCAAATTCATAAAGAAAAGTCAGTGCAGCTGGGGCCAAACGTTGTGTTTACCCACGTTCAACCTCCATACAAGCCGAAGGGCGGGTGGGTTGGCCTTGACGATGCACTTGAAGTAGACGTCGTGCCCCTCCTGGACGGCGCGGCCTGGCTGCGACGACCACGTCTTCAGCTGCACCACCGGCGCGTCTGTGGAACACCATGAAGATCAGCGGCGCTGGAATCCACCACCGTCACGGTGGTATCGCGACGAGACTGCTCTTTAATGACGCACACAACACGGGCCCTGCGAGAGACTGTAGGCATTACTTGCAGCGCTACAGCGCACCCAATGCGCATCGCCAGGAGCAATTGTCGGGCTGAAATCTATACATGCCAATGTCGATTGCAGAGCAGAAACTAGGGAGATGTGCACGGCCCAGGCAAGACTCAAACGGACCAACATCATGACTCATGAGGGCATGGTGTTGGTCATGAGGACAACAACGGACCACACAAGACAAAACAGTAGATTTAATTAGAACACCGGATGACAGGAGAACCCATCGAAGACCGTCAGCGTGGCTCACAGTCGCAGCGGCTCACACACACGATACTCGGTAGCGAATCTCACAAGATTCTCCCCGCCGAAGTCTCACAAGCTCGCATTGTCCTCCACAATGCCCACGGCCGGCGCGCCGGACACTGCGAACTCACTCACAGCGGATGCTGAGCTGCCAGGAGTCCTCGATGGCAGCGCTGAGCAGCGGGTTGTGGGCGCGGCAGAGCACCACCTGACCGTCGTCCTGCACCTCCGGCCGGAAGCTGACGCGTGACGTCGTCACGTTGCCGTCGTGACTCCGATTCTGGCGGCGGTCGGGGGCTACGGATGGCGAGGAGCGCAGCTGGCGCAGCTATCGTGACGTGTGCAGCTGCTGCTAGTTCTGCCACTAGCCCACTTCTAGCCCTGGTATTAGCATGGGGCTGGAAGGAGCACTACGTTCTAGAAGAGCGTCCGAAGAACTGCGTCCTGAAGAACCTAGCACTACGGCCGCTTTCGTTGAGTGCTAGTGGCGATTGACTGTCGGTGTCATATGGTCATTGTCACGGTTATCGTCGTGATGTGCAATCTCAAGCCATCACGCTGGGCCCACGATCATGACCAGTCAGCAGAGACCTCTTGCATCCAGCTGTGCCTGCAGCACGCTGAAGATGTTGCGACAAAGCGGCGGCCTGTGATCGCGAGCCTGAAGCTTTTCAGGGTGAGTTTGAAGATGAGAGGAGAGGGTCGTGAGCCTGAATATTTCTGAAAAGTTGTCAGCGACACTAGACGGACGCTGGGACGGATCCACCGCCACCTGACCCGCGTGGGACCAGCGCCTGAGTGCCACCCGACCAACGGCAGCGACACCACAGAGCCACCCGCTCCGGCTTCAGACAATAGGCAGTCATGCGACCCCGCCCGGCCTCCCGGCCGCCGGCGGCGCCTCACAAGCTGCCCTCATGAATCGGCTCAGATTTGCGCCGCCTGACGCGACCCGGGCGCCGCTGGTCTTGGTCGGGCGTGCAAGAGTGTGACCTCACGACCGGGCCCGAGTGCTGCTCGTGAGCCGTGCAGTGCGGCGCTCTGCACGGCACTGGCAAACGAACCGCGTCAAACCCGCGGTCGGATGTGGCTGACCATGAGAAACTGCAGCCATGCCTGGCCGGCAGGAGGGGCGGGCTGGCGACCACCTGCTACGTCCCCGAGGAAACCACCCAGAACACCGGCCACGCCTGGTGCGGCTCGCACCACCAAATCACCAGACTACTCTCAGGCCTGGTGCGGCTGGAACACCGACCAGGCCTGGCGCGGTTCGCACCATCAGGTCACCAGACTACCCCCGCTGATCTGGTGGTGCCGGTGGCAAGTGATCCCGTACCTCGTGCCTCCCGTACCCTGTACCTCTTCTCGTACCTCGTCAGTAGCGGTGAGCTCGCGGCCGTCCTTCCACCAGGAGATGACGGCAGCCGGCCTGGACCCGGCGCTCTGGCACACCAGCTGGTACGTCACGCCCGCCGACAGCGGGTTGTTCGAGCCCAGCAGTCGCACGCTCAGTGGACGCACTGCACGACAACACGCGCGCTTAGTCGGGCAAAGGAGCAGACAATAGCTTTAAGATGAAGACATCAGTGGTACATTGTTCCCTGCAAAGAAGCGCAGAGTTTCGGGATGGCCATTAATAGGCAACGCAGGCCTCAAATAAAGTCAGCGTTTATCTTCATACCTGACCGCGACACGAGTTTTTTGCGTATGCGGCGACATGGGGACGCTTCCAGGCCCTGGAGTCCTCAACCTCAAGGCGAGTTTGGTCGGGGCGGACGGTCACCACGGACGACAGTCGATTGGCCGGCTGTTGCGTGCGCCCACAACGAACAGCACATCTACAGGAAGGCGTTTCTAGGGCCACGACGCACGCGGTGGCGATCGGAAGGATGTCGGACGCGTGACTGGGTGTGCGCTGGTGGTGGTGCGTCGGGAGGGTGGAGCGCGCTGTCAGTAACAGGGCGATCAGACGACGAGAGCGCCGACAGTGTTGGTGTGCGCTGGTGGTGGTGCGTCGGGAGGGTGGAGCGCGCTGTCGGTAACAGGGCGATCAGACGCTGAAGGCGCCGACAGTGTTGGTGTGTGCGGGTGGTGGTGCGTCGGGAGGGTGGAGCGCGATGTCGGTAACAGGGCGATCAGACGCTGAAGGCGCCGACATTGTTCTTGGAAGAGGCCATCGGCAAATCTTTCCGGTCCGCCGCAACACCGGCTTTTAAAGCCGGTGGTCAGTGGACGTACATAATGGGAAAAAGGGTCGATGAATCCGAAAACGCAAGTTTTGAAAATATGGACTGAATGATACAATGCCCGAAACTCTAACGTGTTCGGCATTCGAGCGGTTTTCTGTCAGCTCAAGAGACTGCCTAGCAAACTGTCAGCTGGTGTACCAGAATCGTCATCAGACTACTACCATGGCTACAGACCCCATGTCACCTCCAGCCCTGTAGAGTATAAAACTCGTGTATACAGAACTCACGCAGCATATCGATGGCGACGGCGGTGGACTTGGGCGGCGCCTGCACGTGGTTGGTGGCCCAGCAGGTGTACTCCTGACCCACGTCGGCCCGAGTCAGCGGACCCACGGTCACGTGGTTCTGGATACTGCCGGACGGCGTCTGGTGCCACGAGCTGTCCAGTAGTTCGCTGTCTTGCCACCAGGTGATGTTGGGCGGCGGGTTGCCTGTGGGCGCGCAGGATTGTGGGTCGGGGAATCCCCCGCACACATGCGTCTTACGGCTCTGCGAGAATGGCATACGTCCCTGGCCCTTCGGATTTCTTCGCTACCTCTAGGACTAGATCAACGAGCCTCTCAGCGAGTGATGCACTGACGATTGCCTCCCGCATACCGGGTCAAGCTGCCATCGGTCGGTCAGGGGAGCCATGCCGAGTTTATGATCAAACGAGGTATACAAGGATCAACTCAGGGTAAACAGAATCAACAAAGATCTCTTGTTGATTAGAAATAACTAAAGCAGTTGCTTAATACCTTGACCCTCCATAACTTCAAGCGAACAGAAAACCATTACTAATTAACGAAGCAGCGCGTGAGGCACGCATATTGCCTTAAGATCATAACGTAATAGCTGAGTTAGGTTGAAGGGAATGTTCCATATTTTGAAAATGTTGAGGCAGACATCAGATATGATTGAATAAGCACACTGATACATATTGCTATGATTTTAATTCGAAAAGACTGTGCTAGGCACACAATTTCCCTGTTTAGCAAATACGTTCCCCATTACGTCTTGTTTGATAACGCCATCGCACCATGCACAACACTGAGAGCCAATTGGCGCGCATTATATCTAGAAATCGTGCTCATAAACGCCGGATATGAGAAACTTGGCAATCTTTTTTTTCTTAGAACTGATCACCGCATGTTCAGTGAAATGACAGGATTCGAATGACGCTATTATGGCGCCATTGATACCTGGGTGACCTTGACATAGTCTCCGCGAAAAGTCCGCGCATCTTTGCCGGCGTGCAGCCCAGCAACTAGAAAGGTTTACGTCTTAAGGAGCGCATGGCTGTGAACTGCACCGAATGCTTTTCAAGATGGCTAATTCAGTTCAAAATCCTATACAAATATGGAACACTGTAAGCGATGTCAACTTAAGCACTGGAGGCCAGCCGATAAAAACTGGCAAATCGGTGACGCTAACTCCCCGGCATAGCTTTTCCTAGCAAACAATGGCGTTTGCCTGGTTCCCATGCACACATCTGCATGCACCGACACCATGTATGGAATGTGTTCGTTGCTGGCTGTGCTTCCGTCCGCTGGAGTCCCTCCGCGAATAGCGGCGCCAGCTTCCGGTGGATGGGATATTACGTGGCACGGTGCGGTCCAAGGTCGAACTGTGCAAAGGCGCCGTCCAATGACAAACCAGTTTCCCAGATTGGCAGCAGAAACAGCCGCTCTGCTCCGCTCTGCTCCGCTCTGCGAGCGCGTACTTCCACTCAGCGATCGCTCTGCCAGCTCGCGAGCGGTCGCTGCTCGCCAGCCCCGGCTGGCGAACGCCGTGAACAGGCGTATGAAATTTGCTGACCTGTAGCTGAAAGACTTATTGGCCGATTCAGCTGGGATGTAGTTTACTTGACGTCTTGTTTTCTTGTTAGCAGATACTAAAACCGATTTCTGGCAGCGTTTAGTTTAATGGTAGACAAACAATATGGTGAGTCAGATTTGCCCTCTTCTTCTTCAGTCATGTTTATGCTGACATTATTTATTTGTTTGTTTTGCTTTAGATATCACAACAAAGAGCTCGATAAGGCATAAACCTAAACAAACATTGGTTCAGCCTACCTCCGAACGCAAAAATGACAAGCGGAACCAGAAAAAGTGTGATCTTAAGCGAAAGCAGACCAAAATCCTTGCGTGAACGACACTCGCGACCACTCAGACTGCTCTGGTACTCTCTCGGTTCCGGTTCCGGTCCCGGTCCCGGCCCCGGTCCCGGCCCCAGTCCCGGTCTCGTTCTCAGCGCCCGGCTCGCCTTCCGACCGCCCCGCCCCCATCCTCAGATTCGATGCCCAGCCACGCCCGTCTCCAGGCCCCCCCCCCCCCCCCCCCCCCCGTTCTCCGCCAGCCCCAGGTCTCGTTCCATACGGACCGAGTCAGCGGCCGCTGGCATGTGGCCGGACTTCTTCAGACTGAGGTGAGGAATGGTGGCCAGCACGCGAGCCGTCTGTGAGGGGAGCAGAGGGAGGGAGGGGGGGGGGGGGCGTCGACCCACGCCCGCTCGCCGCCGGAGCCGATTGCCGCGAGGGGCGTGCCGGTGTACGGTAGGGGTTTGACGGTACGGGACGTAACACCATGAGGGCGTGACAATGTGAGGGCGTGACACTGTGAGGGCGTGACACTGTGAGGGCGTGACATTGTGGGGGCATGACAGTGTAAGGTCGTGACAGTGTGAGGGCATGACAGTGTGGGCGCGTGACAGTGTGAGGACGTGACAGTGTAAGGTCGTGACAGTGTGAGGGCATGGCAGTGTGGGTGCGTGACAGTATGCGGGCGTGACAGTGTAAGGTCGTGACAGTGTGAGGGTATGACAGTGTGGGCGCGCGACAGTGTGAGGGCGTGACAGTGTGGGGGCGTGACAACTTAGGGATGCGACAATGTGGGGCATGACAATGTGAGGGCGTGACAATGTGCGGGCGTGACAGTATAGGGGCGTGGCAATGTCAGGGCATAACAATATGAGGGCGTGACAGCGCAGAGGCGTGACACGTGCATATGTGTGACAGAATGACTGCCAGCCAGTGTCAACACTATGCAGGTTTTATCACGTTACAAGTGAGAAGGCGTGACAACGTGAGGGCGTGAATATAAAGCGGCATGTCACTGTGGGCGCGCAAACACATAAGGATATAAACAAGTGATAACGTGGACGCATGAGGACATGGCGGAGTGAGAGTGTGAGCGTTTGCCGCATGCCGGACAGAGGACGTAGACGTATGAAGACATGACATATTACGAGCGTAAGCGTGTGACGGCATGTCATCGAAGTGGAGTGGGTGCATCCGGACATGACAGAGCGAGGGCGTGACAGCGTGCGTGGAGACCGACCTCCGGAGGAGCTGCAGGTCAGCTGGACCATCTCGCCCTCCCGGTACCCGCCTCCGGGTGAGACGCTCGATCGCGTGCCCGCCGGCGTTCAGGATGGTCGGACGACCCGGCGGCGCTGCGGGCGACAGAGGCAAAACAGCTGAAAATCACAGACGGCGGCGGCGTGGCCGCGATGCCGTGAAATCTGGCACCTGGTGGCTGTGTTTCGTTGAATCTAGACGAGGCATGTGACAATCGCGGGGACCACGAGCGGACTTGCTTGAACGAAACGAGACAACTTGAACTTAACGTGGCAAGTTGGACAGATTGTGAACAAAGCGGTGATAGCCGCATTCTGTTTACGAGAGGAAAACTTTGCTGCGCATCGCGCGCCACCATAATGCGCAGTGGCAGATCTGGACAAATCATCCGCGCGGTTGTTCTGTTTTTGAAGTCGCCATCACGAGCGATGAATCGAGCGCGTCGGACCGGGGCCGCCGGCGTCGCTGGTTTGGAGGCCTGCGGACGGCAGACGGCTGCAGCTGCCGTTGTGCCGGCGGCGGCTGCACTTAGGTCCGTCTGTCCTCGTAAATCTCACCCGCAGAAAAGTGCTGGAAACAACACAGTCCGAATGTGGGCTGGCACTACTGATATATCGGCGTGCAGCCTGTGGGCTGTGGGCGGGGAGAGGAGGGGCGGGGGAGGAGCTCCCTTCCCCGCTCCGGAGCGGGGAGGAGCTCCCCTCCCCGCTCCGGGGCGGGGGAGGGCGCTCCGGGGCGGAGAGAACCCAGCGCAGGATCCGGGCCGGCGGCGGGCAGCGGTGCGGCAAGACGCCGCCTGAAAGCCGCCGCATGCAGCGCCATAAACGCCGCCGTAAAATTCGGCCGCTCTCGTCGGCCGAATGGCGGCTCGTCGCTCATGACGACCGAGGCGGAAGCCGCTGTCGGTGCATGCATACACCGGCCGGGCCGCGCAGTCACGCGGCGCGCGTGCCGCGACAGAGCCGGCCGCGCCAGAGCCCGGGTCGTGCGTCGTCCTGGGACGACGGCGGGCGGAAGTGAGCTTCGGTCCGAGCTCGTGAGACACGGCCGCCGCCGCGATGGGACGGCGTCGAGGCGACCGGTGCGCAGTGCCTGACGGATGACGGGCGAGGACCCCGGTGTGAGAGGACGGAGTCCGGGTGAGAGGAGGATAAGGCCCGTTGCGAGAGGATAAGGCCCGGGTGTGAGAGGACAGGACCTAGGTGAGAGAGTGCGTGCGTTTGTGTGTGTGTGTGTGTAGATCTGGACGCGCAAGTTCTGGTTTGGGTGTGAAAAGCTGGGACCTGGGTGGGAGGGGATGAAAGCTGGACGTGAGAAGGAGTGGAATCTGGACGTGAAAAGGGAGAAACTCTGGACTTGAAAAGGTGGAATCGGGCACAAGCGGGGAAGACCTAAAGAGGCGAGACCTGGGTGAGAAGATAGCCGAGCGCGTGAGAAGACGGTACCCAGGTGTGCGGGAGTGGGGCTCTATTGAGTAGAAACATGCGTGCGAACGTGAAAATGTGAAAGGCGCGAACAGTCCTTCAGCCTCTATTTTTGGGCAATCGACGCCTGCATTATGCAAATGCGATTCGTCTCCACTGCTATTGATAGCCACAAAAGGCCCATAATAGGTCATTGGAACTACTGCGTTGTCAAGTTCCCGCTTCAACAAAATAACGCCTTAATTGGAATATTTTATATCAAGGAATTCAAAGTCCATGTCAACAGCCTTCAAAGGGATTTTTTAAACTACGCATCGGCGACCAACGGTTATATAAGACCCTGGCGGTGCAGCCCGGATGGTGGGGCCCGTCTGATCCTATATGCAGAGCACAAACAGCCAGCGAGCGCTCAAGCCGGCCGAACCGGCGGCAATCCTGCGGCATCGTCCGGGTCAAGTTTACCAGCCGTATCGAACCGCCCGAACGGGCCGGCTGTGTCAACGTGAGGAGCCAGAAGCGGGTCGGGGCTTCGCGTGGAGAGCAGTCGTCCATGACGAGTGGCATCTGAGGGGGCTGGCCGCCGGGAGTGGCGGCAGGAGTGGACCGGACCGCCGAGAGTGGCGCCAGGATGGCACTCAGCGCGTAAGGGGAGTGGGGAGCGCGCCCACTCGATCAGACGTGTCTGGCCCGCCACCCACCGCACGCCCAGATGCGCCGCGCAAACAGAAGCCGTGCCAAGCGCCGCCGCCGATACATATAGGGGGAAGTCGGACGCGACGGCTCGAGAATACGTGTGGGAATGGGAAGCAGATAGGGGAAAAAGATGAAGATATGAAGAGTGAGAGGAAGTAGAGAGCGCGAGAGTGAGACAGCACGAGGTAAAGGAGCAAGGGAGGTAGTAAAAGTGGGCAGAAGCTTGTTAACAGCGAGGCAAGAAAGACGACAATACACAAGATACAATCATAACATTCCAGCAGAGGACGAGAGACAGAGAGAGGGGGGAAGAGAGAGGGGAGAGAGACAGAGGGGAGCAGCGACAGCGTCACCAACTTAGCAAAAGGTGTTCACGCGCCATGGACAGGGCCGACATTTATGAGTTTTGAGCGCGATTCAGAACACCCGAGATTAATCACGGCGCCGAGTTATGCCTCAGATTCGGGCCGTTTTCGCCTGGCTGGCGCAGGGCGGCTGCCAAAGTCCGTCCAAAGATAAACCCGGCGCCGTGGAATGGAAGCGCTTTGAAGTGCCGCGCCGGGGGCTTCCTGCGTCGGTTCGTCGACATCGACGGCGTTGGCGTCGGACGCGGGGCGCGGGGACTGCCGGCGGCTCGCAGCGCCCGGCCGCACTGTGTCAGTCAGAGCAATGCTGACCCGCACTGGGTCACATTCGCTGAGGCGCTGCCGTGCGCTGGTGCAGTCTGGCTGACGGTGGCGTGGTGTCCCAGGTGCAGTGTGTGTGGATCAAGACCCAGCGGTATCTTGAGATGGCTCTGGGAAGACTGCCGCGCCAAATTGCTCTATGTGGGATGCTGCGTTACGGTGCAGTGTTGGCTGTCGCGACATCGTGGTGTGTGGGCTGTCGTAAGCAGGGCCCGCTAGGGCTGCAGCTCTGTGTCGCTAAGCGAGTTCCCGTCCCATATGGTCTCTGTGCGGGCTGTTGTGCTGTGGTGCTGAGTGGGCTGTCATGGTTCGGGAGCTGTTGTGCCGTGGTGCTGTGTGGGCTGCAGTGGTCCGTGAGCTGTTGTGCAGTAGCGCTATGTGAGCTGCCGTGCCGAGTGAGCTGTTGTGCTGTGGCGCTATGTGAGCTGCCGTGCCGAGTGAGTTGTCGTGCTGTGGCGCTATGTGAGCTGCCGTGCTGCGTGAGCCGTCCCGCTGGGGTGCTGTGGGAGCTGTCGTGCTGCATGAGCCGTCGTACCGTGTGAGCTGTCGTGCTGCGTGAGTTGTGGTGTTGTGGCGCTCTGTGAGTTGTCGTGCTGCGTGAGCTGTGGTGCTGTGGCGCTCTGTGAGCTGTCGTACCGTGTGAGCTGTCGTGCTGCGTGAGCTGTGGTGTTGTGGCGCTCTGTGAGCTGTCGTGCTGCGTGAGCTGTGGTGCTGTGGCGCTCTGTGAGCTGTCATGATGTGGGATTCGTCGCATCGCGGCGCTGTTTAATGTGCATGCCGATGCTCCGCAGCACCACACCGGCTATGGGGCGACAATTGTTCAGTGAAACATAATCTCAGACGCGTCATTCGGTTTCCCGTCCCAGTGAACCGTCAACAAACGGTCGATCACCCGCCAACACCAAAGCCGGGGTCAGCTGACACGGAATATAAACATCCGACGGAATATCGACCATTAGAAAGGGTCTGCAGGTCCACTGGCGCGGGTTTCTCGTACTGGCCACGTTAAAATTGACTCTGAGGGCTACCCGGCCAGCGGCATACGACCCGCGCAGGATCTATCGCATAATCAATCGGGAATGTCCAGATTTTGTGAGCACTGGACATGTGCCAGCGAGAGCAGTGAAAATCTGGCCCCGGTCCCAAATCTAGGGAAGCGCTAGGCTTTTATTGCGCGGCTGAACAAACTAAGCGCCTTGGCTGGTCAGCGTGAATAATGCATCTTAAAGCGAGGCCAGCTTTCGCGATGCAATTGATTCTTGCCCGGCAGCTGGCGGCCGTCTGGGCGCCGAACTAATATTAATGGAGTCCGTGGGAGCAAACACGTCCACTGCGATCATTTACGTGGGGAAGGATGGCCTTTGAAGGCAACAGCGATGCATGGGGTCACGACCGAGTTTGACCAGCATTGCAGCTCGACCGGCCAAAATGGGCCCGTGGCAGAAACGCGGTGGCCATTCTGACCTGTCGGAGGTGTAAGACTGGTAGAGGGGTCAGGCACGTGAGATGGCCAGCTGTGACTTGTGGACACCTGAAGTGACCCGTTGGTGCCTACGAGAGACCCACGGTAGCCAACTGTGGATGTCCGTCGTGAGGCGGTCGGATGGGGCCAATGAGAAGCGTGGTCAGCCGCGGTCACCAGGCACGTGAGGTGGTTACCTGTGATCTACCGATACCTGGGATGGCCAATCAGTGGCAATGTTCAGGTCTCCGTGGCCTATCAGAGACGTGAAGCGGTTAACTTTAGACTTATCGGCGACGCGAGGAGGTCACGTGTCAACGACGGACGTATCGCACCGACCGCCGTTCTCGGGAGCGCTGGGGCCTGCCGTCGATGATCGGCCGGTCAGGACCGACGCGTCAGCGTGCATCCGATCGCCCCGTCGATACCGACGAACAGAACGGAGCGGCCGACGATCCAATCATCGACTTCGGACAGCGCCTCTCCCCCCCCCCAGACTGGCCGGCCCCCGGCCGCGGCTGATGGAACGCCCGGTCGCCGTCAGCCGGTGAGTGTCCTGGTCCGGGGTCGGGAGGTGACGAGCTGACAACGTAGGGTCAGCCGGGTCAGAGCCGGAGAGGCCGGTGGTTCGGCGGTTTAGCGGGATCGACGCTCGGTCAGTCCGTCAATGTAGGCGGTAAAAGGATGGCGCATGGACTGGCAACTACCGGTACACGGCCGGTGCCGGGCTACGTTGGCCCGCATTCAGTACATTGAGAGGTGGAGCCATTGCCGGTACAAGTGAGCTCTTTCAGGCTCTGGAATGGTGACGATGTACATCTCGCCTAAAC